ACTCGCCGAATACCACATCAAACCGCGTGTACTTAACGAAAATTGTAACTTCGTACTGAAAGAATATAATAAAGAATGAAATATCAAATTCCAAGTGTCGTTTTATTGTTATAATAAATAAAAGGAAATCCCATTTGATTTTGTAGAAATTTTATTTGAAATAATAAAAAAAAGATACAATAATCGCGTTAATAAACATGTTCGCTCTTCGATAATATTCAATTGTTGACGAAGCGTGGTTGGCCGTTCGTTTCGACGCCACTGGTAACCGAGCAGGAACGTCCAGTTTTTCACGAAGAGACAAGTGTCGCCCAACACCATTGCCCCCTCGCGAAAACCACGTTCACGTGTGCTACCTGCTGCACAGGGATCCTCCGGCTGGTGACGCGCTTCCATCGGCTGGTTGGACAGGTAATAACGACTCGGAGGTCGTTTTCTCGGCTTTGCCTCGCCTGACATCCGCTTCATCCGTTTGATGCCCGGCTGCTGGCATGTCGCCGGAGAACGAGGAATTAATTAAATTGTTGCTCGGTTGGTTAGGCTGGTGGGGGGTTGTTCCTTCGAGCGGGGGTTAAACTCAGGTAGCTGAATCCGAGATGCTGCACTGATGGGTTCCAAGGTGTCCACTGATGATCCTCTGATATCTGTTTCGTGGAGAGCCCACGCTTATTATCGGTTGTTGCTGCAAAAAAAAAAAAAAGTTTTCCGTCTTAGTTATTTAAACTTATGTGTGTTCCTTTCGAAATATTATTCCGTGCATAATAGTTTACAAATATTATCAATCTTTGATCGTCAAGGAAAGAAATTTAATTTGAATAATCTGAAACAAAATTATAAATTAAAAAGTATCACTCGTATTGCTTCAACAATAACACAATTTAGAATTTTTACGTTGGTATAAGTGCGTTTACGTTTGAAATAATTTTCGAGTATTTGTGGAGGGGGTTGGCCCTTAAAAAATTCCCAAGATTTCTACGGAAAAGGAAAGTTTCGTTATCCGAGCGACGTTCGAATAAGAAAAAGCTGACAAGTTGTTTCCGGAACAGTGTCGTCTTTATCGGCGATCTAATTGATTGCGAGAGATCGAGCGAGCATCGTATAAGGTCACGTCGGGCTACGCTGAAATTCCGGTTCCCCCTTCAGCTTCCTCCTGTTCGCATAAATGGCCGGTTAAGGCCTCTCCGCTTGACCAAATCACCGGATCGTATCGGCAGGCATGCAACAAAGCGAACTCGGGGGCCAACGGTTATCTCCACAAGGAAAGGAGTAACTGCGAGTGCTTTTAGATTCACTCCTCACCGATCCATAGATTTCGAGACCCTCCTCTTTCCGCCTTCGAATAACAGTCGTCTCTTATTTTTCGTCGTAAATTCCTCCCTCTTCGATCTCTCGTATCGATCGCTCGAATCGATCCTCAGGCTTGAACTTCGTTTTCGAAAACTTTAGATAAATTTTTCCCCCCAAGATTTTGATAAAGAACGAAATGGTCGTGAAATGCTTCGTTAAAAAGTTGTACGAGATCCGGAAATGTATATTGGATAAGCAAGCGGTTAGGAAAGTTATCGCGTTTAATTTTTTTTTTTCAAAAAAATTGGTACACGATTGGTTATCTCCAATCATTGCACGATTGGAATACTGCCTCTCGCAATACCGGTTGGAAATCTTTATTAGCGCGTCTAACGTAACGATTTCGATAATAATTTCGAAGGTTTAATAAATAAAAGGTTCATGCCTTTACTCGAAAATTTTTTTAATTATTTTCGTCCATCCTCCTCGTTGGAATAATTAGATATTTGTACAGATATTTTCGTACAGATAGAATCGAAAAATACCATTTTTTTAAATATTATATTTCGGCAATACTGCAATTCCAAAAACTTATCATTCTCTCGCGTAAAATTTCTACTTGGCTTTCTTTGCTAATTCTTCCTTCTCAAACATCGAGATTCTCACAGTCTCCGAGATCGAAATCTCTGATCGCCGGTTATTGAAGTACACTTTCGAGAAACTTCCACGTACCTCTCTCCCTCCCCCTCCCCCCGTCCTTGAAGCTTAACAGAGTTTATTGTTTTACGAGCCAATTATAGATTACTTTTACGAGGCCGTTCCACGGCCTAATCGTACGTTTCTAATGAATCTAACAAAAAACCTCTCTCACAAATTTCCTGCCCTCGTTGAACGCTCGATCCTATCGCGCCACAAATTTTATCTGTCCCCCTTCGGGAGGGGGAAGGAGTAGGGGGGAGGGAGAGAGAGAGAGAGAGAGGAAGTTATCAGCCCTCTTTCAACCCGACTTCTCGAATTGTTTTTCTTTCTCGAACGATTCGATTCGATCATTTTATTCCGATTTAATTAAAACTCGTACCGTTTCCTTAATTCGTTTCATTATTCGTTTTTCTATCATTCTATCGCACACACCCTTTTCTAATTTGGCCGCGAACATCGAATGCGTTGTTCCCAGCCTGCACGTTTTCCAGGCTTCACTTTTTTTTCCGCCTCGAAACGAGGGCCATGTCGCTCCCAGTGATCTCGAGAGGATGCAGGACAGGGTCCGAGAGCGCGCCTCGTCGATCCTTATCTCCGCTCGTGAAAAGAGTTGAGAGAATATTTCGTAGTTTCACCACGTTTTCGGTTTTCGTTGCGGTCGTAGCCAAAGGGGACGTCCATCCCTCCTCTCCTCTCTCCTCTCCTCTCCTTCCCCCCCCCGTCCAGGAGGGAGTACGTGCACCGGAAACCGTGCAACCGACCAACCTTTTTATCTCGAATGCATCTGACACCCGCGCCTCGTCCAGAAACCAACAACAGAAGATGATACAACCGCTCCTTCTTCTTCTTCTTTCTCTGTAACCTTGTTGTGCGAGAGGCCACAAAGAGGCGCTCTGCTCCACCGGAAGCCAAGGTCGCAAGGTTTCGAGATGAAAGAGAGAGGAGAAGATGGAGAGAATTTCACGGATTTTTGGATCTCTACGCATTGTTCGGTGAAATTAGATCGAATTTTACACGAGAATCGAATTCGTTTCGAACGTGTATAAGATATATGTAATAAAAAGATGGCAAAAGATTTGCTCGCGAACAAAGAGTTTAAACTTTGGAGGGGAATTGGCGATATATCGATCCGCGAATTCATGCATATTAATAACGTCTCTCTTCAGGGTCTGATCGCGCATTAATCGCTTATTAATTATTTCCACGGCCGTGCCAGTGATTATGATATACATGCACGCGCAGACCTTGTTTCCTCTCTCTCTCTCTCGATTTCACTTTTTTCTTTTCTTTTCCTTCTCTCTTCTCGTTTCTATAATTGCACAGACCCCCGACACTGTTGAGATTAATGCCCGTGTCCACTCATTCTGATCAGCTTTTGCCGGCGTAATCAAGATATTCCACTGGGCGGGGTCTCTGTGCGCACAGTTTCTTCACGGTCAATTACACATATATCGTGCAGTCTCTCTCTCTCTCTCTCTCTCTCTCTCTCTCTCCACGGAAAACCGGGTATTTACTTTGAGCTCCAAGTTATGCACCCTCCCCTCCCTGGATTGTTCAAAGATTTATTTCGGCCAGATTCTCGTATCTCGTCGTTTCGACGATCGATCTGGGAAATTGGAGCGCGCCCGATCCACTCGAATACACCGAAATCCGAGCATTTTAACACGCTTTCGCTTCGTTCGCAACACGATTCCGCGTACGATAAATAAATAGCGGGATCATATTGCGACGAGTAGATATTTACAATGGAGCGATGGAATTTTTTTTTTTCTTTTTTTCTTTTTTCTAAATATTTCTAAATATTCGAACGAATGTGATCCATCCATCCATCCATCCATCCCCCCTCCCCCCTCCCACGCTAATTGAATTTTCCGGGAAAAATTCTGTCTATAAAACGGGG